GTGAGCTGGCTGTGCACGTGGTGGAGACAGGTTGCTGGTGCTGGTGCCGGGTGCAGGTGCTGGTGCTGGGTGCTGGGTGCCGGTGCTGGTGCTGGTGCTGTGAGCTGGCTGTGGAAGCTATTTGTGCTGGATACTGCTTGGCCTTGGGCGAGTGAAGCCTACGCTTTGCCGTTTGTGCGCGTACGTTTGTGCGCATAATCTTATATGCGCAAGATCATGCGGCCTTATCGTTCTGCAGATCGTTGCTTCAAGCGTGCTACAAAGTCAATAGTGGCGCTGGATACTGCTTGGCGTTGGGCCAATGACACTTACGGGCTTTGCTGTTTGCGCGCGTACTTTTGTGCGCATAAACTTATACGCGCAAGATCATACGTTGTTATTCTCCAAATATAGGGATAGCTATGGGCTATGGGGTGCGCGCGCTTTCGAAAGGGTGTCGGTGCGCTGGTGCTGTGAGCTGGCTGAGCACGCGTTTAAGACGGGCGGCGGTAACAATGAGCTGCCTGCGCGCGCTTTCGGTGCTGGTGCTGGTGCTGTGAGCTGGCTGTGCACGTGGTGGAGACAGGGGTGCCGGGTGCCGGCGCTGGTGCAGGCTGGTGTGGTGAGCTGGCTGTGCACGTGGTGGAGACAGGGTGCCTGTGCCGGGTGCTGGCTGCGCGTGGTGGAGACAGGGTGCCGGGCTGGTGCCGGGTGCCTGCGCTGGGTGCTGGCTGTGCGCGTGGTGGAGACAGGGTGCCACAGGGTGCCGGTGCTGGGTGCCGGCGCCGGTGCCGGTGCTGGTGCTCTAAGCTGGCTGTGCACGTGGTGGAGACAGGTTTCGAGACAGGGTGCCGGTACTGGGTGCCGGTGCCGGGTGCTGGTCCTGTCCGCGTGGTGGAAACATGGCCCGTGCTCGTGCTAGGTGCCGACGCCGGGTGCTGGTGCGGGCTGTGCGGCTGGTGCTGGTGCTGTGAGCTGGCTGTGCGCGTGGTGGAGACACAGTGCCGGTGCTGGGCGCTGGCAGTGCGCGTGGTAGAGACAGCGGGCGCGTGGTGGAGACTGGGCGCCGGTGCTGGGTGCTGGCCGTGAGGGTGGTGGAGACTGGGTGCCGGGTGCCGGGTGCTGGGTATACCGGTGCTGGGTGCTGGGCGCCATGCTGGCGTGTCGGTGCTGGTGCCCGGGTAACAAACCGCCGCTTGCAGCAGTGAAGGGCGACCAAGCGCCGCTTCTGACAATGAAGTGCCAGGAGTCATGGGCCGCATGAACTTATGCACGCAACATCATACGGTGTTGTCGCTTCAGCGTTCTTTGTCTATTGGCGCTGTGGGGTATTTACACTCTTCAGGTTCTGTTTTGGTCGACAGCTGCGTCAGGCTTTCAACCGACCATTGTTTCAGCATGTTTCAGCATGCTACACACAGAATAGTCGTGCTGCATACTGCTTGGCCTTGGCGAGTGAAGCCAACGGGCACTTTGCCGTTTGTGCGCATACTTTTGTGCGCATAATCTTACACGCGCAAGATCATACGGCCTTACCGTTCTACAGATCGTTGCTTCAAACATGCTACAAAGTCAATAGTGGAGCTGGATACTGCTTGGCCTTGGGCCAATGACACTTACGGGCTTTGCTGTTTGCGCGCATACTTTTGTGCGCATAAACTTATACCCGCAAGATCATACGTTGTTATTCCCCAAATAGGGATAGCTATGGGGTCTTGCGCGCTTTCGAAAGGGTGTCGGTGCTGGTGCTGGTGTTGTGGTCTTGGGTGCTGGTGCTGTGAGCTGGCTGAGCGCGTGATTAAGACGGGCGGCGGCGCTGGTCGGGTGCTGGCGCTTCTGCCGGTGTTGTCAGCTGGCAAAGCGCACCGGCGCTGGTGTCAGCTGACTGTACGTGCTGTGGAGGTGCCGCAAGCTGGCTGTGCAGGCTGCGTACATTCTTGTTCCAGGCAGTCGCATCTGCCTAGCTATCTGGGTCTATGCTGGTGTAATTTTTCCTTACAAAGGCAGTGTTGTCGCCAGGTGCTTTGATACTGTTTTTGAACACGATGGGTTTTGTGGTCGTGTCCGGCCTGTTGACTTTTCTGCCGGAAGGTGCCTGAACAGAATCGCCTGTCCTTCGCTGAAGAAATTGGGTCTGGCATCTCAGTGTCAGTGTAACACAACATTAGTAACATTGGCCAGGACTCTGCTTGATTGGGTACTTTGTTGGTCGTGTTTGATCCAAACCACTTTGATGAAATCAAGTACGCTTCCCTCACAGACTACTTTGTATGATCCAGATGCATTGCTTAACGAAACAATACGACGCAATACTATTCTGTTGAAAAGAGTTTGAACAAACCTTGTGAGTTGTGATGCTCAAACATAGCACCTCTGGGTTTGATTGAGCAGCTATAAGACAATGCCCTTCTTCATTACAGTCAACTTCAGTCCAGGACACTACTGAAAGACAGCGATGCAGATTCGAAGTACAAGGTGTGAGAGGGACAGGACAGCGAAGGAGTGCAGTGAAGTGCGACCGACGCGCTTGTGTTGAAGTGCAGTGCTGCTTGAGGGGCAAGGCAGCAAGACCAATTTGCGGAGCCAAAACTCTGATGTTCGGTCAAGACTCTTATATTTAAGCTGCTTGAATGAAATTGTTCAAGACTGCTGTTGCATGCAAAGCCCAGATGAACCAAGTTGACACTTTTGTAAAGCAGCCTTCAGAGTGCAGGCTATGCTGCTAGCTAGCGAGCAGGTTTGTGGCCTCAAAGCAATTTAAGGGACTGAAGAGACTGCTTGGCAGTAGTACGGTAGTACTATGTCAACCTTGCATCAAAGCACAAGATCAATGTTTAGTGCTGTGATTTGCGAAGATGCCTCTGCAATTTTGTGTGATAAAACTCGGGTTGAACACGGTAGCTTATTTGTGCTGATTTATTGCCAAGGCGCTGAAGAGGGAGCGAGCAGCTCTCTCATTTAGGCTGGAATTGTGAGTTCTGAGTGAAGGCAGTTTTGTGTCCCGACTTTATCCATGCTTAGTCCATCGCGAACTGAAGATCACATCTTATATAATCCTACATTTCATGGTCGGACATTTGCAAAGAGCTGTTCTGTTTAATGAGACCGCAACGCAGGGTCGAATTCACCAAAGGGAAGTCAGTGAATCAATGAAGTAGGTGCTTCTGCCCAAGTGACACAGCATCCTGCAAATGCAGGAAGAAAATGGACCATGAGGTTGCCCAGGGCAATTTTCTCAGCTTTCTACAATGTTCCTGGACATTGGGCGACAAAAGGCCAGCCAAATTGCCAAACAGATTGGCAATCATGGCCAGTATGCTCATGCCAAGCGGGTGCGGACACGAAGTTTTTGTCAAGGTGCAACAGCCTATCTTGCAAGCAAATGAATCAGCTAAGGCCTGCCAAGCCCCTGTGACAAGGTGTGTTTTGCCCGTGACGGTCGTGTCGCAAGACCTCTGAGTTTTTGTACTGTAAAGGAACAGAATAGCCCGTGCCCGTGCTATTCTGTTGGAAGCAAAATAGATGAAGCGCTTATTAATCTAAACCGTCAAAAGCAAATTCTTCTTGAGGTTCACATGTACCGCAGGCCATCATCCAGGTCGAAGAGAAGAAGGGACATTCTCGTGATGGAAAAGAGAATCAGGTGAGACTTGCCATTTTGAACCATTTTTGCTTGAACTGACACTTTTTGTCATCGCCTTATGGACAGTTTTTCATGTGTTTAAAGCAAGTCCACATTTTCCACGCTGCACATTTCAGACTATATAGACACCTGATGGCCATTTTCTGGGCTGCATTGCTTGAAACTCATTCTTCCGGGTGTTGCATTGCAGCAGGGAAAGCCAACCTCGCAGACCCTTGATGACCTGTTGGCAGGGAGCCTGAAAGGCAATGCAAAAGATTCATTTTCAGAGGTCAAAGATGGTTGCAGGAGGTTTCCCAGAAGATTGTTTCTCGAGTGTGCTGGGAACTTCATTTGGCTGCTTTGCTTTGCAAGCGGCTGGATTTGTTCAAAAGCATTTGAGAGCAGGGAGATCAAGAGGCTGGAAACGCACAACAAACAATTGTGCTGCTAAACAATGGTTCCAGCCCACATTCCATGCCATGGGACATGCAATGCTTGATACTTATTGTGAGCACCCGGTTGTTGCACATGACACGTACATGCCCCTTTTTACCCTCAGCGGTGGGGCTCGAGCATGCAGCCAAAAGGTCGTGCTGCGCAAGCGGTTTAGGTCCCTGGTGGACCGGTTTGGGCCTTTGTATAGGCCGATTGCATGGTAGGCGGAGCGGCTGGCTTCGATCCTGCTGCGGTGGCTGCTGCTGGCGGCTTTGGAGAAGGCAGCCATGCCTTCTGAGGAGGTCCCGACATGGGGCGGGGACCCTGCTGGGTTCGAAGGCTTCGCCACCTCGTGCCGGCGGTACGAAGCGAGTCTCAAAGACTCAGAGCGGAAGCTGGCGGCGCCTCGGGCTTGGCAGAGGCTGGGCGGAGCAGCGAAGAGCGTGGTCCGGCACCTGGATCCAGCCTCCTTCACTACGGAGGGCGGCATGGGCAAGCTGCTGAGTGTCCTTCAGGACAGCCCACTTCAAAAGCTTCCAGTTCCGGACTCCTTCAACCGACTGGAGAAATGGTCAGGTTTGAGAAGAGCGGCCTCCGAGAGCATTCCACAACTTCTTGTATGAGAAGAAGAACTGTTTGTTGAACTTCAACAAGCGCTTCAACGAGCAAGAGCTGAACGGTTGAAGCATGAGGTGCGCTCCATGGCAGTTGGTGCGGATGAGCGAGACCCTCCAACTTCTCCTACGAGATCTCCGAATGTTGGTGGAGCTTTCCGGACTGGTGGTGACGCTGATGAAGCTCGAGAGCAACGACAAGGTGATCCTGGTCCTCCGACCCTCGACGATGCAGGTTTCTTTGAGAACGAACTCAGAGGCTATCGATTGTTGAAGGCTTCGAAGTTGAGCGCAGCGGAGAAACAACATGTCATGACGCTCACCAGGAACAGCGCCCACTTCCAGCTGATCCGCAACGCACTGAGGTCTCTTTTTGCTGATGGAGCTGATGGCGGTGATGATGCTGGAGGACGCTTGGCGAGGAGAACTGTTTGGTTCGCCGAGGATCCATCATGGGATCAATGGGAGGATGACTGGTGGGCTGATGACACCACTTGGGGAAGCGAAGAAGCCTACTGGGGTAGCTCTCCCTCTTCGGCATGGGACTATGTGGACGACGAGGGCGAGTACATGATTGGTGATGATGGACTACCTCATGGAGAAGAAGAAGGCTAATGAGGCGACACCAGAAGACCCTTGCTGAGGCCAAACAGGCTGTGGCTCGAGTTCGTGCAGCTCGAGGCTACTACAATCCGGTGGGCATGAAAGGAAACCCCACTGGAAAGGGCAAGGGCAAGGGCAAGTCGAGATCCCCTTTTGGGAAAGGCAAGGGCAATGGTGGCACTTCCTATGGTCCCTGCTTCATGTGTGGACAACATGGCCATAGCTATGTCCGATGCCCTGACCGTTGGTCGAAAGGTTCATCGAAAGGGTCTGCCTCGTCATCCCCGAAGGGATCACCCACGGGGAGTTCAAAAGGGAAGTCAAAGTTCCATGGCAAAGGTCGCAAGGGCAAGGCCTATTGGGTGGACTTCGGCCAGGAGTATGACATGTACGAGGTCAATGTTCTGAGCTTGGCTGACGAGACCATCTCGGGGAACATGTCCATGTCCAAGGTGGTGATCGACGCAGGCGCCACCGAATCGGTGTCAGGAGTTCGGGCAATGGCCAGGCTGATCGATTCCCTTTGGTTTCCCTACGACATCACCATCGACCAGCGACCGCGGTTCCGTTTTGGGAACGGTGAGTACCAGAGAGCCACATCCCATTGTACGTTGACGACAGCGGCCCTGGGACGAGTTGGTTTCTTCTTGCTTGATGGTGGCGCGGAAGACACTCCTCCGCTGGTGGGAGCAAAGACGATGAGGTCACGCAAGGCGGTCATCTCCTACCACGGGGACTACATCGCTCACCGAACAGCTGATGGAAAATGGTGGGCAAACACCTTGCAGACCATCGGAGGTGGACATCTTGTGTTGGACTTGTCGGAACCCTGCATCCCGCTGCACTACCTGATCAGGAGGATCAACACCGACCCTCGAGTTGGCTGCTCCACCTGGAGGTGATGACGATGACGATGGTGATGAAGATGGCGGTGATGGAGATGGAACTTGTCGGAGGAAGAGAAAGAAGACCAGGGATCCTGGCAATGACATTGTGGCTGCGACTGCAAGGCATGCGACAAGGGAGGCAGCAACACGAGGTGTTGCTCCAGTTCGACCGCCGCCGATCACGCCCAATCCTGAGAGCGACTTTGAAGAAGAGAATTACACACCGTCTCAGTGGGCAACAGATTCTCCACAGAATGAGATGATTTCGGCACCGACTAACTATGGTGCCCCTCCAAACCCCCATGGGGAAGCAAAGGATTCAGAGGAAACAAGGTGCGCAGTCGGAGCTCTCGCAGATCGTATTCCAATTGATCTGGATGAAGGTGAGATTGAAGGCTCCGAGGTTCCTGAGGCAGTGCCAGTTCTTGTGCGTGAAAGTCATGATGATGTGATTATTGAGACTTTTGGAAGCACTTCCGAACATGCATTACCTGTTCCCACTCTGCCTGCCTCACTTGATGCACACGGACATGTTCTGCAGCATGAAGACTGTCTGTGGTCAATGAGCATTCAGTTTTGATGTTGTCTGGATCGGCAAGTGGTGAACCGGAATCTTCCCTGTCCGGCCGCCTCAGCAACCTGGCTCGAAGGCTCGACGATCTGCGAACCTCCATCCATGTGGAGAATGAAGCCATGCCGGCCGGCGACCGAGCTGGATCCGAGGCATACCGGCTGGCCCTGTCACGGACATCATGTTCCGGGCCCAGTTCGAGCCAACAAGACAGCGAGCTGGCAGACTTGCGGACATTGCGGCCTCCGACTCCGGTACACCACGGGCGACTATCGGGCCATTGGTCCTCCACCAGGTGGAACAGGCCCAGATGGAGTTGCAGGAGACCTTCAAGGCCCACGAGATCAACGAGAAGATCTTCAACGGGAAGCTCATGGAGATCCGTGGCCGCTCACTGGTGGAGACGAGAGGCAGGGGGCGAACAACGGTGCAGGTCAGGGCAGACGAGAAGCTGGGAGAAGCCTTGATGGCCAGTTCGACCTGTCACCAAAGCCAGGGCCCAATGACACCATATCCGGGATCGCAGGAGATGAAACATTCGACCTCACCAAGGAAGAGATCCCCGGAGAAGCCCTCGGCGAAGCCCTCGGTCAAGCCCGAGATCAAGACCAACCTGGCCAAGGAGGAGATCAAGGAGAACGACCTGCAGAGTGTGAAGGCGATGAGCGTGAGCTCAAAGGTGTCCTCCTCGGTGGCGGTGGTCGACTCGAGCGAAGTCCAAGCAGCCCGAGAACTGCTGGAGAAAGTGAGCAAGGGAGAAGTCCTGCCCGTCAAGGCCGAGCCGGAGGAGGAGGCCGAGTGATGGCGCTATGGGAGTCTTTGAAGAGTCTGCGAGTCTGCGAAGCCGGATGATGGCGGCTGAATCGACCGAGATGGTCGGACGCTCTGATCGGCTGGAGGCCACCCAGAGCGACAATCCTCTAACTTCCAACATGAGCCCAACACGTTCAACTACACCTGTTTTTGAGGAACTTCCTCAACCACCAGACACTACGAGCACTACGAATCACGTCTGTGCCACTTGCTTGACGAGCTCTATGGCAAGGATTTGTCCAGGCGAGGCGGCCTATGACCGTCCTTCATGCATGTTGAGCTCTATGACGAGATCTTCCTCGACGACTACACCATCACCTTCGCTGGAGAGGGAGATTGCCGAGACGAACCACATGGTGAAGAAGACAGTGCGGCCATCCTTGGCAAAGCGATTGGCGGTGGCTGCAGCGCTCTCTCTTACGGTGATGGAGCCGGTGAAGGAACTGATGCAGACGGTCGGCCCTGCGGTGGACATCATGGAGATTGCTTGTTCACCAGAGTCAACCTTGACAGGCATCTTTGAGAAGTCTGGCTATCAAGGAGAGAAGATCAACTTCAAGACGGGCTACGATCTTGACACTCGCAGTGGCACGGAGAAGCTGGGTCGCAGAATTCAGACATGTGTTCCCAAGCTGGCATGGGTCTCATACCGATGCACCAGGGTGTCCAATCTGCAGAACCTTACTGAGAGGACGCCTCAGCAGCGGGACATTTTCTTGAAGCGACGTGGACGTGATCTACAACGATGTGATGAGATAGTGAAGGACCTGGAGCCAGTTCTCGCCTCCGGGAACGATGTCGCTTCGGAATGGCCTACCTCGGCGCATGAGGGTTGGAGATCCAAACCAATCCGACGGCTGGTGCAGATGATGAGACGCCATGGGAGAACTCCCTACTGGGTACGCATTGATGGATGCGCGTATGGACTCCGCTGGCAAGAACAACCTGTCCTCAAACCATGGACACTTCTCACAACATCGAGGAGTTTGTGGTTGACTCTATGCTGAAGATGCGACAGATCGCATGAACATGCAGAATGCCGAGGAATGGCAGCTCAGGCATCATCATATTACCCCTTGGCCATGTGCAAGGCTGTGCTGAAGGCAATGGAACATGAATGGCGACAAGGGAAGGACAGCCTAGAGCGTCATGTGGAGGTCTACTTGCTTGAGAATGAGCAGGGAATGAATGGCGCCGTGCTCGGACGATGTGATGAAGTTCGACCTGATGATCCACCCGGTGAGACCGCACTACCTCCGGGAGAAGACCAACAGCATGTTCTGGCACTGAGTCGAAAGAGGCTAGATCTTGGCACAGCACCTACAGGAAAACGTCTGGAGGCAGTGAAGCAGCTCATGCTCAGGGTACACAGAGCTAGCGGACATGCTGGCATGTCGAATCTGGTCCAGCTGCTCAAGGCCAGAGGATCTCCTGGACGGGCACTTGAGCTTGCAGCAAACCTTGAATGCCCTGAATGCAAAGAGGCTTCACAACCACGTCCTCGACCTCCAGCGAGCCTTGGCGAGATTCCACCAATCTATGAACATGTCGGCACTGACGTCTTCGAGCATGAGGAGCCCTCCGGTGTCAAACGCAAGCTGATCCTTTGGCGAGATCGCGGCTCCGGTCTGACCATGATCGACCACTTGGCCCGCTATGAGACTGGCAGTTGGAACCCAACAACTCAACATGTGATCCAGTCCTTATCAAAATGGCTGATGGTCTACCCGATGCCGAAGTGGATCGTGGCGGATAGCGCACGATACTATACCAGTCAGGCCTTCATGGACTACCTGAACCGATCTGGAGTGGGACTGACAGTCGCCCCTGCTGAAGCTCACTGGTTAATGGGCTTTGAGGAGTCAGCGATTGGAGTGGCTAAGAAGACGGTGGATCGCCTGATCCGAGAGGGGAGCAACCTTGAGATCCCAGAGCTCTACATGATGGCAGCAGCGGCGATGAACAGCCACGTCGGTCCAAGTGGGTTCAGTGCCTATCAATGGGCTTTTGGATCCGGAGGTGGAGTTCTTGATGATCAACAGTTGCTGAAAGGGATTGACCCTCGAAGGGCATTCGACAAGCTCGTCAAGGAAAGAGAGAAAGCCAAGATCGCCTATGAGCGTGAAAGAGCAAGCGACCGTTTTAGCAAGCTGGCCAAATGCCGTGGGCCGAAAGGCTGAGCAGTACCGTCCTGGTCAAGTGGTCATGGTCTGGAGACAGAGAGTTCGGCCTGGGAAGATCAAAGGAGCATGGACAGGACCTTTGCGGTTGGTTTTGATGGAAGGATCGACTGCATGGCTGGTTTCTGGATCGACGCTCATCCGGGCCAAGGTGAACCAGATCAGGCCAACAAGCCAACGAGAGACTCTGGATGCGGCATTGGAGGGCACGGCGATCTACCGTGTTCCGGTGAGCTTGGAATCACTCATGAGGAGTTTTCGCGGTCGATACTACATGGACATTTCAGGCGATGTTCCCAGTCCATCTCGGGTTGCCCAATGCCCGGTGAACTTAGAGGAGTTGCAGGGGAACAGAAAGACGATTGTTCGACCTCTACATGGTGGAGATGAAGTGACCTTGCGCGACACAGTCGACGAGACACGGACGCTGCAAGATCGCTGGAAAGGTGAAACCTGGTTCGAACTTGTCCCGCCATCCCCGGCGAAGAAGGCGCGTGTGAGAAGAGAGAAGGGTGAAAAGAGAAAGGCCGAAGCTGGAGAGCCTGATGGAGATGGAGCTGAAGGACGGCCTGATCCAGATCAAGAACCACCTGAACCTGGAGGACCTTCATCATCTTCTACCACGGCATTGCAGAAAGCTCTTCGAGAGAAGGGACCAGAGATGGTGGACAGCATGCCAGTGAGAGGTGAGTCAGGCGCCAACCGGTGTCCTGATCTACACGGAGGACATCCAGGACATCACCAAGACCGTGATGGGAAGACGTTCATGTACGACCTCTACGAAGGGCGCCGAGCACCAACTGGAGCTGAGGTCCCAATCGATGACGCTTCATCGTCCTCTACTTCCTCAATCTCTGAGCCTGAGGACCTGTCGTCTGGGGAAGAGGAGCTCATAGTCATGAAAGAGAATGAGAAACCTCCAGCGAAGAAGAAGAAAGAGAATGCCTCGAAGCCTGAGGACACCTTGACTGGCTGGCGAAGAACAAGGATCGCCGACGAGGAGCCATGTCAAAGAAAATGTCCGAGAAGGGCAAAGAGGTCCTATGGGAGAAGCTTCCTATGAGCGAGAAACAGGAGTTTGACCTTGCAATGGCCAAAGAGCTCTCCCAGGTGGCCATCAGCAAAGCCTTGAGGAATTTGACCAAGCAGGAAGAGCTTCAAGTGAAGCCGGAGCAGCTGATGAGGATGCGCTGGGTACTCACTCGGAAGAGTGATGGATCGGCAAAGGCGCGCTTGGTGGTGCTTGGCTTCATGGCGCATAACTTGACTGAAGTGGCCACTACTTCACCGACTATGTCCAAGGTCGGCCGCAACGTGATCCTCACCCTCGCCGCCGCCTATAGGTTCAAGCTCAAGGCCGGCGACGTGACGAGCGCTTTCCTGCAGACGGGCATTAGCCTGGAGGATGAGCAGCTAAATGTCCTGGCGCCGCCAGAGTTGAGTGTCATGTTTGGCTCGGAGGCGGGCGATCAACGAGTTCTCCGAGTACGAGAGGCTTTCTACGGGCTCGCGCACGCTCCAAGAAAATGGTGGGAGCGCTGTGTGCAAACCATGAAGGATGGGCAATGGCATCAGCTTCTTGGAGACAAATGTTGCTTTGCTTTGTATGAGCCTGGCACTGGTGGCAAAGGGCAACCTCCAAAGCTAGTGGGTTTGGCAGGGCTTCACGTAGATGACTTCCTACTGGCAGGAGACGAGACTTCAGAGTTCTTTGTGACCCGTGAGAAGCTGCTGAACCAGGCATTCCGATGTGGACGGTGGAACACTACCGACTTCGAATTTGCCGGGTCCGCGATCAAGCAGAATGATGACGGCTCGATCATCCTGAACCAGGAGAGCTACACGCTCAGATGGATCGAAGAGATTGAAGTGGACAAGAGTAAGGCGATGAAGACGCCCCTGACTCCTGCGGAGACTTCCTCGATGAGAGCGGCGCTGGGAACGATCTCATGGCGATCAACCCAATCGGCGCCCCAGTTCCTAGCAGAGACTTCATTGCTGCTGAGTGAAGTCAACAAGGGGACCATCGAGTCACTGCATAAGGTCAACAAGCTGGTCCGCGAGATGCGCCGCGAGGCTGGACAAGGGCTCATCTTTCCAACTGGTTGGCAGTTCAAGGACATCACTGACCTGTGTGCGATTACATGGGCAGATGCGAGCCAACGCAACAGGCCAGACAAATCCAGCACTGTGGGCATCATCACCGGCGTCACGGTGAAAGAAGCACTTGGAGGAGCAGAAACCCAGGTGGCAGTGGTGCAATGGAAGAGTGGCAAGACGCCACGACAATGCTTAGGCTCCAACGGGGCCGAGGTGCAAAGCATCACGATCGGGGAGGACCAGAACTACCAGATCAGAGCTTTGATGGCCGAGTTCGGTGGCTTGGAGCTGAAGAGGGCTGAGCTTCACGAGACCGTGAAAAGGGTCCCCGGAGCTTTAGTCATGGATTCCCGAGGAATCTATGACGCGATGACCCGCAACCTCTCTGCCTTGCATGGTCTTCGCGACAGCCGAGCAGGGTATGAACTGACTTTGGCAGTCAACCAGGCCTTGAAGGCCAAGACAGAACTCAGATGGGTGAATGGACTGGCCCAATTGGGCGATTCCCTCACCAAGAGCGGGGCCAGGAAGACCATTTTGCAATTCCTGAGCCAGCGACAGCACTGGCGCCTGACCCATGATGACAAGTTCGAAGCTGGGCGCAAGGTGCACAAGAAGATCATGGAGCAGCGGCTGAGAGAGGCCCAGAATTTGTTTGTAGAGAAGTTGAAGGGGTTGGCCAAACGGTTCAACTGGCCATGGGACGCAGATGAACCTGCACCCCAGTACCCACCTTTTACCTGAAGGGCCCAAAAAGGGTCACAGGATTTTGGGTGATGTGAGCACCCGCGCGGTTGTTGTACGTGACACGTACATGCCCCTTTTTACCCTCAGCGGTGGGGCTGGAGCATGCAGCCAAAAGGTCGTGCTGCGCAAGCGGTTTAGGTCCCTGGTGGACCGGTTTGGGCCTTTGTATAGGCCGATTGCACTTATCTTTTTTTGGCCTATGAACAACATTATGTTTTAGGCATGGGTACGGCTTTTGACGAGAGTTGTTGTTTGAAACTCACGTCAGACTTTTCTTTGTTTATGTAAAAACCTTGGAAATCGTGGAAAGGTCGTAAAAGGCAAAGAATGTATCGTCAATGAGTTCCAAGCAACATCCTAAGTTATTGAGACACAATGGAACAAAAACAATCATATCATACACCTCAACAAGAAACGACAAAGACAACAAAGACTACTTATAAAGAATGACACCAAGAAATCCCACACGGTAGATGCTTTCCAATCCTGAGGATGATGTTTGTCCAACTCTGCTCAAAAGCCACATTCAGTTTCACTGCTTAGCCCAACAAGGCCTGGCCTGGCCACAACCCCCCTCCCTTTGAAACGAGGCCTATTTGCCTCCGTTACCGCCACTGACTGGAGCCCAGCAAGCTGCGGATTTGAAGCCCATTTTTCAATACCACCAGTACAGGTACATTTGGTGCAAAGGGTTTAATACCAAAAAGAAATGCAGAAGTATTTCCCCAAACAGTTTACTGTTAGGGGTTCTCAATTCTTTCTTAAGATGTGTCCGCCCTTTGTGTCACTGCTGGTGTCCGCCCTTTTCCGCTGGCCATGTAGCATTTCT